AAGAAGAAGAAGAAGAAGAAGAAGAAGAAGAAGAAGAAGAAGAAGAAGAAGAAATAGTTAACTTGATAGATAGATAGATAGACAGACAGACAGATAGATAGATAGATAGATAGATAGATAGATAGATAGATAGATAGATAGAAAGATAGATAGATAGATAGATAGATAGATAGATAGATAAATCACTTCTGATGTCATCTCTGCCCCCTTCCTAATTTTCTTCCCTTCGCCAGACCCCCCTCACCACGCTCCCCCCCCTCTAAAAAATATAAAGAAGATAAAAATCTCTTTTCCGATCCGCACACCCACGTGATAGTATTTGCCGAGAATTTTGCTGACTGGCTTCTCCTCGCCCGGGCCAGCCTCGTCATCAGAGTCCGGTTCCCCTCTCAGACGTCTCTCCTCCTTCATCTTCTGTCGAGCCTCCTCGATCTGCTTCTCCTGGGGACACCGGACCAATCTTTTCACGTTTTACGCCCTATTTGACACATTAGGTCACTTCCAAAAACAAAAGCCAGGAAATATTTTTTTAGGGAGGGGGAGAGGGGGGGGGGGGGAGAGGGCAGAGGAGCTTTGATATAATTTTTGTTGCCAATCTTTGTATGTTTTGTTGTAGTCGTAGTAACTCTTTTAAGCAAATATATTATTAAATCACATGTGTCTAATGAATTCCGCTTGAATTTTGACGAAACGTCTTCCTAATCACGGGCACTCCATTAGCTCAGTAGTACAACGTCGGTCTGCGAATCCGAGAACGCTGGGTCTAATCCTTAACGTGGTGGTTTGAACTCGGATTGTTTAGTTGTTTTGTGAGTTCTCATGTGTCTCCAACCACTTAGGCATGCCACCTCGGATTCGGATGTCAAATTGTGGAAGTCTTAAATAACCTCACAATAATGAAAGGTGCTTATAAACCTATGCCACTCGGTCTTCCATTATCATAAACTCAATGTGGAGTACTGTTACAAATGTATAAAGGTGGTTCCAGTGTCCTCTTTGAAATCATCTCTATGCTATCTTCTTTCTTGCACCCCGCTCTCTCCTTACCTTCTTTTGTTCGAAGATATGGCGCCGCACCACGTAGCAGGCAGTCTTCCAGTGGGGCATGTGGCCGTTGTGTAGAGTACCCAGGGAGTGAGCCGAGGCAACACGCAGGATGTCTCGGGGAATACGAGGCTTCCTCTCTCTGTGTGAACAAAATTACATACTAGAAACGGGAGGGGTGGGGTTGTTGGTATGCAAGACGAGTAAGCGGGTGGGCAGGTGCAAAGGAAGATGCAAACGCTTTCTCCTTAAGTGAGCTACACGTCTCTCCCAACTGCTATGCCATGTGTTTAGAATTATGTACCAAACTGGGGTTGTTCTCAGGGAAGTACTCATTTAAGTGAGGGCAAAATCGTGGATGTTTCGACTACCGTTTGTTGTTGGTGGTCAGTGGGCGCCTCTTCTATCTATTACGCTCTGCCTATCTATCCAAGCTTTCCCCCCTGCATTCATTTGCTGTAGTTTTAATAGTGCAATGTGCTTCCCTTTGCTCAAACTTCAATTTTGTTTTGACGAGTGGTGGCAAGCTGCTTTGAAATATAGGAATGACGGTGATCACACTCCAAACACATTATTGTTATTGTATACCCTTTATGAAAAGATCTCATTAAGTCTTTCTGTGCCTAGAACAGAAATATCACAGCATTTCTTTGCACGATATGATGAAAGTTGTATTGATAAATCCTGATACAAAGAAAGTTAGTACGAGCCAGTGACTTACACCACGGGTCCCACACACTGAGGGATAGGCCGCCATGTCTCGCCGAACGTGCCGATGTAGGTACAGTTCTTGGTCCACAGTCGGACCGTCAGGTCCTGGCTAGAGGTCAAGATCAGGTTCCGGGCTTCGATAAACTCCATCGACACGATAGCTTGGGTGTGGCATCGGATGCTGCTCAACTGCGTTAGGCAAATGGGAAACATATACGAGTACCCATTAAGTTTTGTAATATTGTGGTCTGCCTGTCAAAAATTTCAAAACCATGCTGCAATATAATTATTGACTCTCAGATTCAGAGGTTTCCAAATACAATATCATGCGGTGAATTGTATTAAATGCCGGGGAGAAATCAACAAAAAGTACTTTCGCACACGTTTTAGGTGTTTCAAGGTGTTTTAGTATTGGGTCATATAACCAAACAACGTCTTCTTGGCCCAGGTTTCTTTTTTATTTGAAGGCAAAATGGAATGGATCTAAAATTTCACAAACACAACTTAGAATATTTAAAAAAACCAATTTTTGAAAGCACTTAAAAGCGTTAGATTTAAAAGCGTCTCGTCTTAAATCACATAATGCACCCAACTTAGGCTTTTTAAAATGGTATTTGTGCAATCTCCTACATTTTTCATATTGTAGGAGAGTAGTAGAATCGAGAGATTTATTATTTTATTAAATTGACAGAGAATCCAGAGAGAATCCAGAGAGAATTGCAGAAGTGTGCACCGACACCTACCAGCCTGGGTGAATGCAAATTTTTCCTGGGTTTGCTGGCATCTGGAACAGAGATTCGGATTTCTCTCAGTTTTTCCATGGTGTCCAGGGCCTCCTCTGCTGGGAACGGAAGTCGACTGTAGACGAATTCCTTTTTCAGATGCTTGTTTCTCTCCACTTTTTCGTCCTCTGTCAACTTGTCTGCGTTACAAAACTCTTTGATGTCGTAGATCTGATGAGCGTTTAAAGATATAGACACGTCAACAGGATACCCACCCGAATTTCTTAGTTTTGTCTTTTGGACAAATCTTTGACAACTAGATCTACATGATAGTTCATTGATTACAATTATATTTTTTTGCAGCATCAACAATACATTACCCAAGTATAAGGGGAAAAAAGGCGGCGGTGGTGTATGGAAAAATAATGTTGTCAGAAAAGTTATGAGGGCTACATTTGCCCAATAGAAAAGAAATGTGTTGAACTTTTTAAAACAAATCTTAAAAGGCATCCACAGAAAGAGTTCAAGTAGCATATTTCTATGAAAATCACGTCTCTTGCATACAATACCAGGTGTGTTCATAACAATCTCGCTGTGTCTTAACCCTTCGACATCTGATTATTTTCATATTGTTTAAACTTAAGTAGATAATTCAAATTTTTAACACTAAAATGATAGACTGATATGATATTGTGTGCAAGCGGGCAACATCCGATGAAATAAGGGTAAAAAATAAGCTTTGAAATATTATGTTGTGCAAACTACTGGACTGTCAATTTTTAGAGACAAACGTCACTTTTTTTTCAAGTAAAATGTTTGCAATGTCTCTTCCATCTCATTTTATTCAAACAAACATTAAATTCATTTGACCGAAACATCAACCAAAATATAGAGAATCGATTCCAATTGAGTATCTTTTTTTCGGGGGAGGGGAGGGGTGGGGGGGGGGGCGGCTCATATATTATTCATAATGCAAATGATTTATTCATTTGCGCATTGTTATACTTGTTCAACGTTCCCTTTGGCACAATTGAGATGATGTACAAGGCGGGCTGCTTCGGACCCTGTCAATCAGGGCTAACCCGGGCTGAGTAGGCCACAGCATTTCAGCAGAAAGGAAGCAAAATCACGTCTCTTGCATGCAAACGGCTAAGAGCCTTAATAAGAAACAATAGATGAAGATACGCGAGTGAGTGAGTGAGTGAGTGCAATGATTAAAAGCACAATATTTCCACGTTTCAAGGCATCAAGGTATCCCCGTATTTCTTACTCTAAGCAACCCCATGGTGTCCCCAGTCAAGAGGATCTCGTTGTTACTGTCCGTGGCGATACAACGAATGCTCTCCAGCTTCCTCCTAGTGTTAGTGAACTGTGCCAGGAGACCACCCTTGGGGTGAAGAGACCAGAACCGAATCCAGCACTCAGCGCCTCTGGAGACGGACAAATAAACAGGTGGACAGGTGGATAGGTGGATATGTGGATAGGTGGGTAAGCAGACAGAGATAGAGAAAGTTAAGCGGAGACATGTTAGAAGGATGAAAGGATAAAAAGAAATGAAGAATAAATTAATTGTTGGAGAGACAAAAGGAAATTCTCAATTTAAACAATAGAGGCAATTTCCATTTCCCCTTTCACTTTGTCGTCTTCTACAAAGGTTCATTTTTGTAAACTTGAAAAAACAAATCTCATATGAAAAATAAAATAATTGATGTGTTCTTTTTTCCGCATCATCAGTGCGTAGAAGACTATAGACCGAGATCTATTTTTGCGAAAAGCCTGTCGTTCATGGTTGAAACAGAAATAGTAAAGACACTGGAAGGTCCTTCTAGTCTTGCCATGACAGACGAAAGGCAAAACTGAAAGAAAAACGAATACATTTAGTTTCATAGGACAATCTTGTGGAGTCCTTGAGAAGTTTTCTTAAGCTCTATTTTGATAATTTAGGAGGTGGGCTGCTTCAACCCTACCTGTCAGGGCCAATTCAAGCTGAGAGGGATACAACATTCCAGCAAGAATGCGGCAATATTCGATAAGAAATCTCCTCAAACGGGAATCAAACTCATGTATTCTATGTACGACAATAAACGTCTTTAACACTTCACCACAGATGCTGGTAGCTTCTCGTGACTTCGATGTACAAAAAATAGAGAAAATTAACCCTCCAAAAGTATAACGATAATAATAATAATAATAATAATAATAATAATAATAATAATAATAATAATAATAATAATAATAATAATAATAATAATAATAACAATAGTAAAAATGATAATAATAATAATGATAATGATAATGATAATGATGTTTGTTTTGTAAGTGTTTTTACGGCGCTCGCAACTGCATAAGGTCATATGAGCGCGCGGGACACATTAAACTTTTTCAGTTGGTAGGAAATTTTGAATTTTGCCCGGGTGGTGGCCGAAGCCTACTCTTATCGATTTTAGACCACCAAAGGATCTTTAACGTGCGCAACTTGCACACGGGCCCTCCGAGACTTTTCGCCTTTGTCCGAGAAGGCTAGGTGTAGATCTTTCGTACCAGAAGATCAGGGATGTGGCTGATAGACAGCAGTAAGAAGAAGCCAAGGAGTAGCAGTAGAAAGGCTGTAGAGAGAATCAGGAGCCCAGAGGAGGGGGGCAAAGGAGATGAGGGAGTGGGGGCAGAAAGAGGAGACGAAAGCAGACGACAGAACATTGCTAGAGAGCAGGAAAGGAGGTGAAAGGAGACAACTTTAGAGAAGAAAATTTTTCGGTTACTACCCGGATTCGAACCCGGGACCTTTTGAATGAGAGGCCAACACATGAACCTCTAGGCCACGAGAGCCCCCAATGATAATGATAATGATAATAATAATACAACAATAATAATGATAATAAATAATAATAATAATATTGATAACAATAATAATAATATCATTATTATTGATAATAATAATAATAATAATAATAATAATAATAATAATAATAATAATAATAATAGCAATATCCCTGTGGAGGGTTGGAGAAGTGTTTCCTCACGCAGTGACGAGTGTCGCCGTCTGAGGGTCAATGAGGCGCCGGCTCCCGAGGAAGACCATGCACTCCACGGCTGACTCGTAGACCAGACTCAACCCCTGCAGGTTCATCCGCCTCTTCTTTTTCTTGTACTTGGCGCTGAAGTCTTTTCGCTCGGCCGCGGCTCGTCTCTGAAAGAAAAATAAAACCACAAAAACAGTGTGTCTATGGAACGTATGGCATTGTCTCGGCTTAGTACCACTTTCAAACTTATATTACTTATAAGGTTATTTACGTAGCAGGATGTAATAATAGAAATCACATTTACATAGCGCATATCCGTGCTCTACAGCATGGTCTACGCGTTGAACAACTCAACTATTACTCAAAGATATTATCGGCATTATCGGCTTTCCGGGTAGAATACAGTGGAAGCTGCCGATTAAGCGCTCGAACACTGACATATTTACACGTTTTTTCGTGGCGTTTAGTCAGGTAATCAATTCCACTTTGGTGAAGCGAGGAAATTTCGTATAAAATGCCTTACCCAAGAACACACCGTTAGACCTCTGACGGGTTTTGAACTCACTACCGTTCGATTACGAGCCCAACATGTTAACCATTATACCAGGAAAGCCACAAATCCGAATTTAAAGTCCAGCTTTCATAAGAACGCGCTTAGTGGGTGGAGGTGGATCGGAGAGCCTTGTGGGCTCTTAAACAGCCCAAGTGCAATTTAATGATGTCCCGTTGAGGATTTGAACCAGTCATTCACTCTGCAACGTAGCGTGAAATCAGCTTATTTGACAACACGCTCACAGTGTAGCTACATTTGCGCTGTTATCACACAGTGTGGTATTGTTTAAGCAGGATGAATAGAATAGAAGCGTTCACTTCGTACACATTAAAATTACCTTGATGCCACAACGCATTTTCATCGTAGAGGTCTGCTTAGTTTGTATATTAAACACGAATCTAACTTTAATATTCTGGAAAAAAGGGGTTTTTAAGGGGGGTGGGGAGGCCTAAATGATAATAAAGATGAATATCATTTTAATAGTAATATTGTAATAAAAGTAATAACAGTAAAAGTATAATGTGATAATAATAGGACAATGTCATCAATAACAATAGCGAAAGTTTGATCAAAGAAGAAGGCTCTTGTAAGTGAATGATTGAGATAACAGTCATTCCCAGACTTTTGGAGACAAAACTCGATCTTCTCTTCCCCCTCCCCCCTCTCTTTCTCTCTCTCTCTCTCTTTCTCTCTCTCTCTCTCTCTCTCTCTCTCTCTCTCTCTCTCTCTCTCTCTCTAACATAAATTCTTTTCAGTTTAGAAGAGAGAGAGAGAGATAGAGAGAGAGAGAGAGAGAGAGAGAGAGAGAGATAGAGATAGAGAGAGAGATAGAGACAGATAGATAGAGAGAGATAGATAGATAGATAGATAGATAGATAGATAGATAGATAGATAGAGAGAGAGAGAGAGAGAGAGAGAGAGAGAGAGAGAGAGAGAGAGAGAGAGAGAGAGGGTGATTGGGGGGGGGGAGGAGAGAGCAGACTGTACAAATGTGTCTTCCAACAACTACATTCCATTTTCTCAGAGCCTAAGAAGTTCAATAAGTACGGAACAAAAAGAAGTATGATAATAAACATTGATTAGACCCCAGGGCATATTTATCTGGATGGTGCATGCTCCGGCGATCGCTATCTTTGAAGTCGTGTCTTCAGAAGACTGCAGATAGCGATAACACTCACTTACAAATACTTAGGGGCTATTGAGATCTTGGCCTTCGTGCTTGTCACATGGCAATGCTGGTTTTTTGACGTACATGTTACATAAATTGATTACAAATGTGCTTCGCCCTACTAACATAATTAAGATAATTTAGGAGGCAGACTGTCTCTACCGTTCCTGCCAAAGCCGTTCCGGACTGAGTGGCAAATAGCATCCCATTGGAAATACGGAAATGCCCAGACGATTATTCCCTTCTTGTAAATCGTTTGTTTATCAAGAGTTTTACTGCTTTAATTGCAACACAATTAGTTCATATTAGTGCAAATATTAAAAATGTTATAAGAGACTAAAAAATTAAAGAAGAAAAAGGAGAACACGAAAGGACGATAGATATTTGATAGGATAGAAGGAAAAAACCACACCAGAACAACCTTTCATTTGCGAATGGAACTCACGTTCTTAGCGTGCCATCCGAATCATAGCACTATTGACATCAGCCCATAAACATCAATCTATATTGCAGACGTGATGCTTGAAGTATCCTTAAGATTGAAGTCCCAGCCCAGTGCAATGGTTCAACACACGTGTTAAAAAAATGCTCGGTACAGTGATAAATATTTAATTCAACATACATTATATCACACCTACACAATGAGCAGGAAAGGACGTGTCTTGCCTGTCACTATCAATATCACCAGTACTTTGGTTATGACTGCCAGCATGATTAAATTATCGCTTCCACTTTTCTCCACCTAAATGACGAAAAAATCTTTCAGGAACTGTCGAATACAACCATTTCCGAACTCACTTTGCACGTCTACTAAAGTCGAACCAATTAAATCGAGACACAATTTAGCCCCCCCCCCCTTTCCACCCACATATATTTCATTACCGATGACCACCTAAAATGCTTTAAGTGAGCTATTTGACATGAATCATCCTCCCCCCTCCAACCCTCGTCCGAAGAGTGAAGAGAGAGAGAGAGAGAGAGAGAGAGAGAGAGAGAGAGAGAGAGAGAGAGAGAGAGAGAGAGAGAGAGAGAGAGAGAGAGAGAGAGAGAGGAAACATAATATGATACCCTTAAAGGTGGATCGATCTTCTCAAGAATTCTGTCAACGGGTCAAGGCGTTCCTTTATCGCACTTCTTTGTCACAAGAGCTTCGTCTTCTTTGTGCTGAGTGATACGTGATTGTAATTGGAACAGTCACGTTTGTGAATCATCATTTATGTTAGCTGTATTTTTTGAGATTCTCGATGCTATCTGCTACATACTTTCTTGAGATAGCTGAGGCACATTTAATAGTGACTGATAAGTTGACGAACTGCATCCCACAGTCTTTAAACGCTGTCTTAATGATAATTAAAAGATTAAAAGACAAACCCACTTACTCTAATAAATTGACACAAAAGTGTGTGCTTGTGCGTGTGTTTCAGTGTGCAGGTGTGTGTGTGTGTGTGTGTGTGTGTGTGTGTGTGTGTGTGTGGTGTGTGTGTGTGTGTGTGTGTGTGTGTGTGTGTGTGTGTGTGTGTGCGTGCGTGTGTGTGTGCGGGAGTGTGTTTGTATGTGTTTGTGGGTGTGGGTGTGGGGGAGGGTGTGCTGTGTGAGTGTGCACACGAATTTACGAAAGACAGCAATACTCTCTGTCTCTCTCTCTGTCTCTCTCTCTCTGTCTCTCTCTGTCTCTCTCTGTCTCTCTCTCTCTCTCTCTCTCTGTCTCTCTCTCTCTCTCTCTCTATATATATATATATATATATATATTATATAGTGGCGTCGATGGCCTAGTGGTTAGGCTACCGGACACGTAACCGTGAGGTTGCGGGTTCGGGGGTTCAAGCCGCGGGCCCGACGTTGTGTCCTTGGGAAAGGCACTTTACACAAATCTTCCTCACTTCACACACGTGGGAATGGGTACCCGGACATAGACAGCGGAAGAACTTGTCAGTACATTAGTGTTTTAGCGCCTATAAATGGCTGCTTGCACAGTATGCTTCCCAAGAAGTTGAGGTTGTTTCAGAACGATCTCAGGTCTGCTGGAGTAATAGTATAGATTGTGAAGCTTATTGAGCTTGCTGTTGAGCGGGGATTTGCGCTATACAAATGCTATTTATTATTATTACATATATATTTTATAACATATATATATATATATATATATATATATATATATATATATATATATATATATATGTATATATATATATATATATATCGAGAGAGAGAGAGAGAGAGAGAGAGAGAGAGAGAGAGAGAGAGAGAGAGAGAGAGAGAGAGAGAGAGAGAGAGAGAGAGAAAGAATACCGAACCACATCTGGAAATCACTATTTGAGTTCACTAAGACGCTAAAAACCAGAACATAAAATAAGACACTGTACCTTTTCTCTCTCAATCTGTCTTTTTTTGAGCGCCCTGAGCAGCCTGTACCAGCCTCCCTCTTTCCTCAAGTGTTTGCCGATGGTCATAAAGCTATCCTCTCCTTCTTCTTCTTCGTCACTCTCCGCTTCCATATCAGCTGCCACCTATAACAAAGTGTTACAAATGAGAAAATAAAAGCAGCAAACTTATTATATTTATAATCACGGGTATTTGCTAATGTACAGTCTTCACAAAAAGTTACGGACCAGTCAGGATAATAGGTAGTATTTTCAAAATATCATATGTAAAAAAGTAATCAGATTTATCTTGTAAAATTCGGTAGCAAGGCTAACGGGTCAATAGGGAATACGGTAACCATTGTGTGTGTGGAGCGTCCGCGTCATGCAGCATGCTTGGCGCGTGTGAAAATCAGCAAGTTCGGCAAAAACTGGACCGAGTTTAAAACGTCAGGGAGCGATACCTGGGACTTTCTGCCTTGCAAAAAACGAGATTCACGTGGCTATGAACTGTGTTAATTTGTCTGCCTACATAAGCCGCCGTTTCAGCTCTGTTTTACAGTATAACATGTCACCATGACAAAAAGTTGAAAAACATCGACAGGACCCGGGCAATTGCCGGGCTTCAGGTATCACACTCCAACATCACACGGCTGAAGCAGCAATTCGCGGTAACAAGAAGAGTCCAGGAACAGCGTCACACGGGTCGTCCAAAAAAAAAAACGACAGCAAGAGAAGACCACTACATCCAACGCCAAGTAATACAGCAGCGGACTAGCTCTGCCAGCGTCATCAGGCGACGTCTGCGAGCTGCTTCCAACACCACAGTCTGTCCGCAGACAATACGTAATCGCCTTCACGACGTCAACCTTCGAGTGCGTCGTTCAGTCAAAAAGGCTAACCTAACCCAGAACCAGCGAGCTAACCATCAGATCTGGTGCACTGCGCACCAGAGGTGGACACGTGCCCAGTGGACAGAGGTCCTGTTCACTGATGAATCTCGATTCTATCTAACACCTAGTGATTGTCGAACACGCATCTGGAGGCGTCCATGGGAGCAGCTTGCTGCCAATGCAGTTCAAGAAGTGGTCCCGTTTTGAGGCGGCTCCTTTATGGTTTTGTGGGGAATCAGCAGGCATCACAGAATCCCCCTTTACCATGTCAACGGTATCCTGACAGGCAAGCGGTATCTGCAGGAGATCCTTCGACCTCTGGTCGTTCCGGCGCTGCAGCAGACTGGGCCTGCTGTATCCCTTCAGGGCGACAACCACACGCCACACAGGCCCAGGGCTACCAACGCCTTTGTGCTGCAGGCGGGGATTACCCGCATGGTTTGGCCAGCCAACAGTCCAGACCTCAATTCTATTGAACATTTGTGGGCTCAGCTTGGTTGGAAAGTTCGGGAGAACCCCCCTTTGCTCGCCATCCGACAGCAGCTACTTGGATGGCTGCAACAAGAATGGAACAACATTCCCCAGGCCTTTCTGCCACGCTTGATCAACTCTATGTCCCAGCAGTGTCCTAACTACCTTGCCGCGAATGGTGGGCACACACGCTTCTGACAATTCCATTGGTCTTCAAGAACGTAAACTGGTCGTTTTCTTTGATATTGCTGATACATTTTGAGATCTATTCTTTTGTGATTTCTGATTTTGAGGATGGGTCCCTTTTGAGCGCTGAGAATTAGGAATTTCAGTTTCGACTGTGATGAAATTTCTTTTTTTTTTGGCACTTATGGATTTATGAATTAAACGTATGTCAAAGAAGGAATAATCTGATTTGCTGTTTTTTTTTGCCGTAGAGAAAGCTTGGGACACTTTCAAAATAACTCTCCTGGACACTATGAAAGAAGTCTGTGGTACCAAGCAGACAAGAGGCAAACACAGAAAAGCAACAGCCTGGTGGAACGAAGAAAGTTAGGACGCTATCAGGAGAAAAAAAAAGACTGTATAATGTATAGGTCAAGTCAAAAAACGAAGAGGACTGCATTAAGTATAGACTTGCATGAAGACACAGCAAGAAAGTCGTTATAACATTTTTAAAAAAAGTCATGGACCCAGTATGGCGAAAAGCTAAGTGAAACCTGCAAGACCTCACCAAGAGAGTTGACTAGTCCAAAGAACAAGGCAGCAGGAGACGATGGCATCACAACCGAAGCCATCCTTGCATGCGATGACACCGGAATACATTGGCTTACAATCTTTTTCCAGAAAGCCTGGAAAGAGAGAAAAGTACCAGCAGACTAGCAAAACACGATAGTTGTGCCAATATGGAAGAAAAAGGGCGGCAAGGAAGAATGCAACACCTACTGAGGCATATCACTTCTCAGCCATGCAGGGAAGATGTATGCAAAGATCCTAGAGCGACGCACTCGCGCAAAAGCCGAACATCTTCTCAGTGACGCCCAGTTTGGTTTCAGAAAAGGAAGAGGGTGCACTGATGCAATCTTCGCACTCCGACAACTGTGTGAGAGGGCTTTGGAATACGAACAAGATCCCCCTCTCTTATCTGTGGATTAAGAAAAAGCCTTTGATTGAGAAAATAGAAACAAGCTATGGAAGATCCTGGAGCAGTACGACATCAAGGGACAACTACAAGACAACATCAGGGCTATCTATGCCAACAGCAGAAGCGCAGTCTGTACTTTCAGTGGAACATCGGACTGGTTTCCAGTAACATCCGGGATAAGACAGGGCTGCAATCTCTCCCCTCTGGTCTTCGCGATCCACATGGACCAGATTACAAAGGAGGCCAATCCAGACCGAGAGGCACTCAACGAACTCACGTTTGCAGACGACCTGGCAATGATGAACAACAAGACCCAGCTACAGGAGCATATGAACCAGCTAAATGCGAACTGCGAGAAATATGACATGAAGATCAGTATTAGCTCGACCGAAGTCATGACAATTAGCAGGAGACCAGACAAAGTAGATATCAACATCAATGGATCCCAGCTAAAACAAAGCAGCTAATTCAAATACTTTGGCCGCATTTTCACAGAAAATGGAAAATTAAATCGAGAAATAGAGACTAGATGCCAGAGAGCCAACGCAGTCAGCTATCAACTCAGCCCTCTCCTGAAACATCCCAATATCCCCATGAGCACCAAGGCGAAGCTCATCAACGTCATTTTCCTTCCAACGCTCACATATCAGTGCCAAACATGGTCCCTAACAAAAGACCTAGAGGGGAAACTGGTCACATGCGAGATAAAATGCTTAAGAACAGCGGTCAACTAAACAAGAAGAGACAAATACAAAAACTAATTCATAAGGGACACCGTAGGAGCAACACCAGTCCTACCAAACATTGAAAAACGAAAGGTCAAGTGATTCGGACACCTCACGCGGATGCCCTCAAACCATCCAGCTCTGAGAGCATACAAACATTAAATATTCTGGATGGAGAGCAAGAGGAAGACCAAGGCGACGATGGAGTGAATTTGTGGCAGACACCCTCAGAGCTCACGGGATGTCCCTCCTACAGGCCACTCGCCTTGCTACAGACAGACGCCTGTGTCTCCCCGTGACACCCACCGGTACAAGCGGAAGAAAAAAGTAAAGTGACTAAGCTGGTTTTTAATTCTGCGTGCTCTTTTGTAAATGATCCTTAACTTTTTGTGAAGACTGTAGCATGAATGAAAATTTACGTTCGTTTAAACAACACAAAACTTTGAACCCGTATGGAGGGAATTTATAATGATTATCTCGGTCATTCTGCTTGAACGTTCTATCCCACTCAGTTAGTTTTGTTTTGATGGGCAGGGTCGAAGCCCTCACCCTAAATTATCTAAATTGTGTCGATCGGGATGTAATCATATCTACATGAAAAATGAAACCGTATAGAACCGGTTCGGACACGGATTTTTTTCGCCCCCTCCAGCCCCC